TAAACCGAGGACGGTATAGTAGTGGTGGGTCGTTACTACTGTACTCGGTACAATGTAACGATTACATTGGTGGAACGAGTAGGAATGAGTACATTTATTGTTCCACGTTCGAACATTCAGTACAAAGTTACCAACTACAAAATGGTCCCCATCAGGGTACACCGACATCGAGTCTGTACCGAATACGGATAATTCCCACCACTACGGTATCGCCTACAATCTTGTCCAACACAATAAAAAAATTAAAACCAAATTACGTTACGTTACATTGTTATAATCATCAATTTAATATCGTTACCTTCGTTTGCTGGAACGCTGTTTACAGAAGCCATTTTTGAAGTATTCATCGAGTCAAAATAACATAAAGCATTGGTAATGGCAATTGAAAAAAAGCAGATAAAAACTGGCGAAAAACCAACTACGTCGACAACTGTATAAATATTAAATTATAATAAAACTATAATAATTATTTAATGAAGTACACCGAACGGGTCACGCAGTGCTGTCGGTGGCCAATTCGAGGACATCGGGAAACCGTAGAACGATGAGCACGTGGCGGACAACGAGCTACGCACGGCAATGTCGACGGACGAGTGTCGAAGGAATATGAACTGCCAGCTCATTGGCGCGGTGTGTTATCGGTGGTCGGGCAGCGGATCGAGGAGGTTGCCAACATAACGACATAATACCAGGCGCCCGTTGGCGTGAGTTGGTGTGCGTATCGAGATAGTACTTCCCGCGACCCGTACCCACTCACAACCAACGGTCATGCTCTGGTGGTGTGGCGAAATCCAATGGTGCCAGCCCGTCGCCGTCTGCCATAGGCAGCGACCGCACTGACTAGCGACCAGGCTACCGACGCGCCAAGCGTGCATACTTCAAAGTTTTTCCCAAACAGTGTACCAACACGGGAACGATAATAATTTATTTTCCTCCAAAAACGAGATACCTTTTTCCTCCACGAAAAAAGTGGTTTAAATTTTCCTCCACATTAATTTAGTATGTAATTATGTCTATTTTCTTCCAATATTTTAGTAGTCCAGTCATATTAGGTTTTCAGCTCGGAAAAATTCCCACTTAGCTGAATTTTTTTACACACCTTTATGACATCGTTGTAAACAACGTGTGAAAAGTCGACATCTGTCTCATGTACTCGTCAAAGGTTATTCGAGGTTAAAGGTCACACCTTTTTTTTAATATCCCGCTTTTTATGAGTCGTACAGTAAAAAGTTATAAATTGTAGAGAAATTAATTATCAAAAAGAAAGTTTTTATGACATTTTCAGGTAAAGTTATAGTTTTCGCGTTATAAGGCCATCAAAATGTACACTTTTAATGAAATATGAATTTTTTGATAAAAACAAGTAGCCATTGCATTAATATCTAGCTTTATACTGGTTGTACAAAAAAAATTGTCATACAAAAATTGTGGAGGACAAAATTATTTACAAGATGGTTATATCCAATCGCACTTGTGGTATACGAATTTTAACGTTTACCGTACAAACTTTTGACCCCCCAAAGTACCAACTAGATTCACTTTCCTATCAGAAAAGGTACTATTGAAGAAAATCTAAGCACTTTCACTGTCCCAAAACGTGATGACAGACACAAAAAAAAATAAAAAAAAGGTGGGCAAGTGGGTGTCGCTCTGCTGTACAGTAGGTTACAAGTGGGTCACTGTATAATGGATGGTATTAAATTTGAATTCAATGATATAATATCATTGTATAAGATAAACGATTCTGAGCGGAGACGGTATGTCAGTCTAGGTATAAGACATATTATAATATTATATACATATCTATGATATTAAACAAAAAATTGACCTATAATTAGGTAGGTACCTATAATAAATTCCAAATTAATCATATCACAATATCCATTAGGTACTTATAACGCGTTATACATCAACAACAAACCGTGATATTATCATAGATATATAATAGTATATTTTAGAAGTTTAAAGTACCCACGAATAATTGTATACAACCACAACAAAATAACTAGGTTTTTTATTATGTAATTACGACCAAATTTTAACTTAAAATGACTATAAAAATAAACTGTGCTTATATATTTTTTAGATTTTTTGGTAACAGAATTAACTACAACTTACGTGGAATCTTGTTTTAATTTTTCAATCCTTAGATATAAAAGTTGAATATTTTATAAATTTTTAACTACAAAATAATTATTCAATTTTAAATTTGATAAATTTTGTCAAAATTCGATCTTCAAATAATTATAAAAAAAATTGTGCTTATGTTTTTTTAATATTTTTCAACTGCTATTGTAACAATATATCAGGAGCAATGTATTCAATTTTTACACTTTTGGTGATATTCATATAAAAAAAAAATAAAAAAAATGGTAAACTGACAATCTAAGTAAACAGCTCAAAACTAGTTAAAATATTTTGAAAATTTTATCAAGTATAAGAATTGATAAAATAAACATTCAGTGAAATTTGCATGTATCTAGAGTCGTTCGTTTTTGAATTATATCAAAATAAGAAAATCGTTACATGAGAAATCGAGTGAATAACAAATTATGTAAAAATATGAATTTAAAATACTCATAAAAATTTAATTTCATTTTCCAGTAGACATTTTTTTTTTTGCTAAAGGTAGACAAACTCATTGAGAAAATTGTATTATATTTTAAAATCTTAAATTTAAATAGAAAAATTTTTATTAATTTCTACCTAAAATTATTTGCAAAATATCGTGTTTTTTCGTATTTTGTCAATAGTTGAACTTAAAATGTTTAGAAAAAAAAGTTTGACCGAGGATTTTTAATATTTTTCAAACGTCTTTGTAACAACATAATAGGAGCTTTGTATTACATTTTCTATTTTTTTACCTAACAAATAAAGTTTTATTGACATTCATTCTGAAAATGTTGATAGTCGAACCATCAATTTTGGCTCAATTTTAGTTTATTAACTATGGTCCTCTAAAGATTAGTAAAATATGCATTGATACTTTTAATTGAAATAATTGGTATATTTTAAATTTAAAAGCGATAAACAATTTTTTCTTATAACTACCTTTTGATACACTTTAATAATTGAATCAGTAATCTAATGACAAGCTCAGAAAAAAAAATAACATTTGCAAAATTGTTGGCAAACATAATTCATTATTTTTATTTTAACATATTATGATCATAAAAATCAATATTATTATATTAATTTATTATCGTACGATTTTTTTTACTTTACATTTTTTTCATCACAGTTACTTATCTTACTTTATCATAAATTTGAATTCCTTATTAGGTAGGTGGCTAAGGTAAAAATGGTAAATTGGTAAATGGTATTTAGGTAGATACCTTTAACCTGAGTTAATTACAGATTTTTTAATAATCAAATACCATTCTTACCTTAGCCACCTAATTAAGCATTCAAATTTAGTAAGCAAAGTAACTGTAATCAATGATTATAATAAGAATGATTACAACAATAGTACCTACTACTTATTTTATGATTGTATGATATTCTAAATTAACTATTAAAAGTACGAAATAAAATGTTGTGTTTGTAAATATCCAAAACTAAATATTTATAATATCCATAACTAATATTTTATGTTTTTTTTATTATGTTGATATTATATTAGGTAGGTATACTGTTGCCGTATACATGAACTGTAATTAGACACGAGGTGATTTCTACTTTTTTTTTTTTTTGATATGAAATAAAACGACATAAATTAAAATAATATAAGTTCCAATTTTTTATGGGTCAATACAAAAGTTAAATATAAACAATACATCATAATACATCAATAAATTATTTTACAAGTGTTCACTTTTCAGTATAATATCCTTTAAAACTAATATTTATTTATTTATTTATTTAATTGATTTAACAGGCTTGAGCCCTTTGATTATAAGGTATAATACAATTGACAAATTACATGAACGGAAACTTACATATTTTGATTACAATAAACAAAAAGGAAAAAATAATAAAGAACTATACAAAGTACAAATACAGAAATACAACTAACCTAACCTAATAAACAATTAATATTCATATTAATACTTCGAATAAATGCAATGATATAATATAAAATAATGGAAAATGATAAAGATCCAAAATGATCGTAACATTTAAAATATATAATATTATTGTAATAGTAAATTATAATATATACACGACAAGAAATCGTTAAGTTAAATATAATTTGTGTTTGTACATATATTTTTTTTAATATTTTTTTTTTTATTAGAAATCAAAATAAATGGTTACAAATTAAACAAATTTAACAAATTGTTACAGTTTTGATTACCTACACATACTGTACACATACTATTTATAGGAACAAGACACCCAAGCATAATATAACATTTTCATGGTATTCAGAATCAGTATCTCGTCGTCGATGTAGTCAAAATATAATCCACCACATTAAAATACCTAGTAAAGCAGTATGGTTCAAGTATTGGAGGATTAGGAAAAGGAGAAGGTGCAGAGGGTCAAGAAGTAGGTGCATTCGGTCTAGGAACTAGAAATGAAAGAGGAGACCGCCTTGTAGACTTCTGCAATCAACATATTATGACAATAACTAATACATAAAATACATAAAATTTGCAAGAGAGAAATGTGGTTTTATTCGTATTAACTCTGTGTTGTGCCATATTGTATTAAAGATGACCAAAAATATGTCCCGCTCTATTACTTTGAAGGTGAAACAGAAAACCTAAGACAGCGGGCTGTAAAATTAGAAAATTGGAACTTGGAATATCTCAAGTTCTGTTTTAAAGTGCAGGGTATCAGAAATGAGTTGTTTGCCAGTGCCCCTTGCACAGCGACCAGTCTTAACAACTATGTACAATCCAATGACAAATGGCAATGTAATGTCACATTCAAGTCAAATGAGACAATTCTACAATCAACGTTCTAACAATAATCAAGCCCAACAACAACAGTTGCAGCAATAACATCAGATACCACAGCAACAACAAATAATTACCACTAATCAAACTCAGCAGTCATATAGTGGCCATCTGTCGTTTAATCAACACACAACAGCGCAACGCATTAAGGAATGCTGGGCCTGTTGCAATTGCTCCGCCCTTAGAAATCATTGCCTTACCGTCCCTTAAATCCAGCCCTATTCTTCCAGCTGTGCAGAAGAATTCTTTTTGTAATATTAATGCATGGGAATTGACGAGAATACCGGAACGGATGTGGGGGGCCCATGACACATCTAAAAATGCCGCATACAAGGTTAATGATATTAAATATTCCAAAATATTCACCAATAACACAAATGCCTTTAATTGCGGCAAAGCATGCGTGACATCTTGTAGCCTGGCCATGGGTGTTGCAGCCGGGTACATTGACCTGATTCGTCCATTTCCCCTCAACACGGCCAACTGCTCGCTGTCAAACAAACGACGGGTGAAATGTAATAACCACTTCTGAACACTGTTGGATGAGCAGTAGGAGGGATAGTGATTATTAAAAAGAGGAGCAGACACTTACGAATTTCCACTGAATAGTGTCGTTTTCAAGTATTTGTTTAAGATGTAAGCGCATCTCTCGACTGTGCACGAAGACAACACCATCTGGACTAAATCGTTTAATGTCACCATCAGATCCGAATAGATGTATGGTCTTGCGTTTATGCAATGAATCACTCTCCCTTTGATCTGTGTTAAATATATATATACATACATATGAATATTATTTATTTTTTAAATACAAATAATAGTATCATAATAAATTAAAAGACAAATTTTCGGTATTCTATATAGCAAATAAAATCGAAATAGTAATTTTTTGTGTTAATAATATACTCAGAATTTAACTTAATAACATACGGGCCTGTTACTTATTGCTATAACGCGATTGATCAAATAATAAATGTCGAAACAATTGTAAGAAGTTAAAAAATATAGATAAATAATAATAATTAATAATAAAGATTAACTCATAGTACCTATTTTATGTTTATTAATGAACATTATAAACTTATCTATGATATGAAAAATTGGCTGAAGTTATGTTTATGCTATTTTTGTTAGTAAATATATATTTGTTTAAAAAAAAGGTATAGAGGTATCAAGATTTTATATCTTATAGAGGTATGAAAAATAATAATAATTTTATTCTAGGCCCCAATAAATTCAGTCAATCTTAAAATATTAAATATCACTAACCTTGTATGCTGCATTATTAGATGTGTCATGCGCCCTCCACATCCGTTCCCGTATTCTTGTCGATTCCCATGCAATAGAAGGACGAAAAGAATTCTCCTGCACAGCTGAAGAATAGGGCTGGATTTAAGGGACGATAAGGCAATGATTTCTAAGGGCGGAGCAATTGCAACAGGCCCAACATTCCTTTATGCGCTGCGCTGTTGTGTGTTGATTAAACGACAGATGGCCACTATATGACTGCTGAGTTTGATTAGTGGTAATTATTTGTTGTTGCTGTGGTATCTGATGTTATTGCTGCAACTGTTGTTGTTGGGCTTGATTATTGTTAGAACGTTGATTGTAGAATTGTCTCATTTGACTTGAATGTGACATTACATTGCCATTTGTCATTGGATTGTACATAGTTGTTAAGACTGGTCGCTGTGCAAGGGGCACTGGCAAACAACTCATTTCTGATACCCTGCACTTTAAAACAGAACTTGAGATATTCCAAGTTCCAATTTTCTAATTTTACAGCCCGCTGTCTTAGGTTTTCTGTTTCACCTTCAAAGTAATAGAGCGGGACATATTTTTGGTCATCTTTAATACAATATGGCACAACACAGAGTTAATACGAATAAAACCACATTTCTCTCTTGCAAATTTTATGTATTTTATGTATTAGTTATGGTCATAATATGTTGATTGCAGAAGTCTACAAGGCGGTCTCCTCTTTCATTTCTAGTTCCTAGACCGAATGCACCTACTTCTTGACCCTCTGCACCTTCTCCTTTTCCTAATCCTCCAATACTTGATCCATACTGCTTTACTAGGTATTTTAATGTGGTGGACTAATTCTCCTTCCGCATCGCAGTTGATGAGCCAGTACTTTGAGTAACTTCAAGCTGCCTCATCAATTCCTTCCATTGCCGTTAGTTAGACTTCTGACTAGTTATTAGTTGTGTATCAACCACCTTAGCCGGCCAATATTCCTCAAAATTAGACATATTTTAATCGCCGCACCTGCATCACTCACCTAACCAGCTGTGCAAAATAGCTATTTCGTTGAACCCTGAAAATTCAATAAAAATTCAATATAAAAAATTGTTAATTTACTAATATATATTACATAGCCCACAATGTAATATTAATACCCACCATTGAATTCAAACAATTAATTATTATATCACACATGCAAAACTTGTAGTCAATACTTTTATTAAATTATAAATTAACTTTAATAAAGCATCAAAATATATTAAATTATAAAATTATCCAACATAGTAACAGCTGGACTCTTAATTTTAAAACAATTTCAAATAAAAGAAAAGCAATATACTTTATTTTATAATTATTATTTATTAATATATCAGCATTACTTTTAGTCAACAAAAAAGTGTAAAAAAAAACGTTAATTGTTTGAATTGCCAACTGAGGAATAACAATAATTAATCCGTTAGTTTATAAAAATTATTTGTGTTAAATAATAATACAAAAAAGTTATTTCTTTAAAGGAGACAAAATTATAAAATACAAAATAGTTTAGAGCATGTGCTTTGAACTACATATAATTGGTTTAGTATTTCTATATAAGGGGTTAGGAATAAGTGGGGAAAAAAAATTAAGAAAGTTGAAAAATAAGTACCGCATTATAGCACTGGGCAGCTATACTTTGATTTCTGGCTGCAATAGAATAGCCACAAGTTGAGGGCGGCTGAGCATGAGTGCTATATGAATCAACCTGCAAAAATATTATATATTTATTATTATTATTATGAATTAATGATAATTATAATATCATAATATATGTTATGAATAGTTCAATAAATAAATTTAATAAGTTAATAACATCTGTAAAAATACATTAATATTAATTTAAAAAACGTTTATATTATTGGGTCTAACTTTTGTCAGCTGACATTATTTTCGGAATTTTTATAACCCCTTGGCTATTTGAAGACTTTAGGGCATTAACATGTCTATGTTTTGGCCAAAATCACTTTATATCGTCATAAAATATATAAAAAAAAATCTGCATCGATTGATGTAACAATGAGATATGTCTGACTGTTACATATGAAGTTATAATATGTCTTGTCGTTGTGTGGTGCAACAACAAGATATTTCCAGAAAAATACATATTAAATAAAAATGTAATTTTGGTGTAACAACAAGATATGTCCAGAAAAATACATATTAAATAAAAATTTAATTTTGGTGCAACAACAAGATATGTCCAAACAAGTTATTAAAAGGTATGTATGTAACTAAATTCTACTATTTTTTTTAAAAAAATTCTAATCTTTTTATTTGGAATTTACAATGTTTTTTTTGTCTGTTGAATAATTTTAAAAAAGGACATGTCTCGTTGTTGCCCCAAAGTCTTCATTTGAGAGTTGAGGGCTTGAGGCTTACTAATAATAAATAGATTTGAATAAATTATTTGATCAACTGAGTTAATTGTAGATAACTAATGACAGTTGTTATTATTTATTTATTTGTTTCTTGTTTGCTTATTTATTTTGATTGTTTGTTTAATCATTTATTTACTTATTATTAATTATACGTATTGTTGTTATTATATATTTAAATAGGTTTCATCGACGAATTTATTATTCACTTACCATTTAAATTTATTTTACTCTAGTGTGTCAATTACATTTTAATTCTGTTTATTTATTCTGTTTATCCTGAATTCGATACATTATTTAATAGTCGTTTGAGGTTAACCAAAAAAACAAATGAGACCATCTTATTATTGTTTTGTTATGGTAACACTGTAATCTATCATATTCATTTGTATGTGACTGTGTGTGTAATTAGTCATCTCCCTCGCGTCTCGCTTGTTTTGAGTTGCCTCGTCAATTATGTTAAATAAATAAATGTCAAACAATATTATTTTTGTTTACTAATTTCAAATACAACATTGTGTCAGGTGTTGATTCATTATGGGTCGAAAAAAGAAGGATCAAGCAGATAAATCTGGATCACAACATGATGAGTCAATAAACGAGCCGCAACAAACCACGTGCACTGATACTCAAATTTCTACAAAAACATTTACAATGTAGTCAGGTCTTATTGGTAATGTAAATCAACTATCCTTAGATGGAAATTTATGTCAAAATTGGTCCAATTGGTTGCAAGAGTTCAACATTTATTTGATTGCGAGTGGCTATGATAGTTATTAAAAATAACTCTAGTAATGATAATTTACTTTTTATTGGTTCTAGAATTGATCATAATAAAAATTATGTTTGGCAAATTGTATTACAAATTAATAATAGATATGTGAATTTTCAGTTAGATACAGGTGCCCAAGCTAATATAATGTCAATTGAAATTTAAAAAAAAATGAATATTTCTGTCAGTAGTATTAAAACACAATCTAATGTAAAATTAATGGCTTTTAACTCTAATAAGATATCCACTTTAGGTAAAAGCACTATTAAATGTTTTTATAAACAAAAAAATTACTTAATTGAATTTTACACAGTTGATTTTTCATAAAATACTATACTATGGTTGGAAACTTGTAATAATCTTAATTTAATATCTAGAATTAATCTCATAAATAATGATAAAGAGATTTCTATTTTAAATGAGTAAGAAGATTTATTTGAAGGTCTAGGATGTCTACCAATCACGTATCATATTCATTTAGACACTAATATTCAACCTAAAATTGACCCTCCTAGGAGAGTTCCATTTAAAATTTATGATGAACTAGAATCTGAACTGAAAAATATGGTCAATATGAAAGTAATAGAAAAAGTAAATGCACCAACGTCCTGGGTAAATTCTATAGTTATTGTAATAAAAAAGAATAATAAGCTTCGAATATGTTTGGATCCGAGAAATCTAAATAAAGCCATAAAACGTTCACACTATCCACTTCCTAGTTTTGAAAATGTTAAATCTAGATTAAATGGTCCATGTTATTTTTCCACTTTAGGTGATAGTTGTGGTTTTTGGATGGTACCTCTTGATGAGGAAAGTGCCAACTTATGTACATTTAACACACCTTTTGGTAGGTATAAATTTATTAGACTTCCTTATGGTTTAAATTGTGCATCAGAAGTTTTTCATAGAGTAATGACAGAACATTTTTCTGATATTGATGGTGTATTTTTATATGTTGATGATCTTATCATATATGCTAAAAATAAAGAACAACATGATCTTATACTAAAAAAGGT